TTGAACTGTTCAAAAATGCTCATTCGAGCGGAGATGGTGTGGTGACAGGAGGGGCCACTGCCGCGCATATGGTCTCTGGATCGAATCCCAGCTCAAACCCAGCGTACGTCAGCCAAATTTCTACAGATGATTAGTTGTTGCTAGGAGCGACTGTTACTACACAAAACACATCGATAACTTGTTTCTAAAAAAGTCGTAGTCTAAGGGTTAAAGGAGGAATTCACGATTAGAATGAAGGTCGAAGAAGGGGTAATTCACCTAGTTGAGGGACCCGCGGACCTCCTGAGGGTGCGGACTGAAGCGCAATTGGCACGAAAGGAGTTGACCTCGGCGACCTATTATGGCTCAATCTTGGCGCGGTGGCCGCACGCCCACCGATCATCTGATCACTCGCCGCAGGTCTATACGTGGCGAGTGATTAGATAGGTGAGAGAGCGTAGTGTTGAAGAGGGCACAGCGATGAGAGTCGCATCAATGCTCAAATCAACGGGCAAGGAAGGGGTCCCATTTCTCGGGTTCTGGGCCGTTTCTCATGGTTCTTCCTTCTTTCGTGTACCACTCACCATCCCTAAGTTAATTTGAAATGGGTTGCCTTTCCAGCGTGAATTCGTCCTTTAATGGGCAAGCCTACGCCCAAATCATGTATGCTGAGAACACCCTGGACATCGCTTCCCTATACTAATATTTTTCTCCGTAGGCTTTCTGTTAACTGGGTGATGAACTTTTCATTAAGCACCGTTTTTTAGAGACTGCCGCTCCCATAGCAGGTAGATTTTCCTAATCCGATCTGGCTTATCGATTCATGCCTTTATCATTTTTTCCGGTCTCTAGGCCATTATAAGTTTAGTATCAACTTCATAATTTTCGCCTTCGGTGCTGCTCATTTCTAAGAACGTCACGCCCACTGGAAGGAGGGGGACGGTCTGCTCAGCTAGTTTCTGTTGGGACATGAGCCACCTATCCCGCACTTGACCACCCATTCTCTCTAGGTGAACCTCCAGGGAGTACTGAAATTCATGCGACACATACATACCGAAGACGGAGTGCTTCACAGTAATTAGGGTAGCCAATAAGTAAGTAATGGATGGAGACAGGTACATCTATTCACCAGTGTGAAACAGCAGTTCAAGCTCACGATCAGTTCTGTGTTAAAGACTGTGTCGTATTGGCTTTGGAATAAAAACGACTGCAGTCGAACCATAAGCTACAGTGCGTATAAGGGCAACGTAAAACCTAAAACTAAACCTAAAACTTATTGTTCCGAAGAAGGATGGAGGGTTCATCTCCCCTACCCACTTGATTGAAGTCAGCATGTCCTGAAACTGTAGTTACCTCAAATTCGGGAAGCGGTGTCAGCTACAAACATTTTTATAATTGATTCAAAGATGCTATCTGTTTCAATAGTATGAACACTCCCTGGGCAATATATATTTCTTCTTCCTGTCAACTCATTTGTGATTCTGTGAGCATGCTTATTGTTAGTGAAAGTAAGTTCCCCCTCAATGTGAAAGGATTATTTGGTTGTTTTGTTGCAATAAAAATTTATACTTTTGAAATGCAGCCTGGATAATGAAAGGTTTTGCAGGTTTCCGATCTGCAATTATCGAAGCTGTTAAAGCGGCCACGGAAAAGGCAAACACAATGGTTTAGCGTATTTATGCAATATCTCTCAAAGGATCTATGTCAACGGCATTCCACACTGATTGAGAACGGTTTTTTCTGTTTTTGTTGCTAATAAATAATTACTGTGAATGATACCAATGTTCGTCTAGTGTAAATTTATTTATTAGTGAAATACAGACATTCTCATATTTGTTAGTGATGGCTACAAGTGCAGCTCGATTCTTCAACAATAGTAGCAATCTATTACTACCGCTCGTACATTCAAAAACATAGGCATTATCTCCACTATCAACCCAGGTTGAAGTGAGGACCCGTTGATTGACCATAGGTATGTAAGCCGGGTGTTATTTCAGTGAGACTTACTCAATGAGAGACTGGTTGTTGGCCTTATTATGAGCTTGAGTCATTGACAAACATAATTCATAAATTAGTGTTGAGGAAATGTATGAACAAGGAAGCTATCTTGGTCTTGCTGTCGACTGGATTACCTTTGGTCGTATTGATAAACTGTCGCCTCAGCCGCGTGAGTTCGGCTAAAGTTCGACACCTTCCGACAACCACCTAAAATTGAGAAGTCGGAATTTTGAAATTGAAGGGAAATCGTGATTTCTATTACCGTGTCAGGGGTTGGATTGAACGCTGTGATAACTATGTGCTGCCCAACAACTGCAGTTCGTTGCCCTCGAATAATTTCGCTTATCACCTCCTGAGTAACATGAGCAAGCTCATGGAAAAAGTTGATCGGCGCTATGGGGGCCACTTGGGTGCTTTGGTTCGGTATGAGTGGTTTTCCCTGAACAAATTCAGTATTTATGCGTATGTGTGCATTCGATTTTGAACTTTGGAAGAACCTGAAAAGCGCTAACCTCACACATCCAACTGAAGAGTTCTGACAAGGGAATATCTGCAAACCTCGGGGATGGATGCTCCAAGTCAATGCCCATATCGTCAGGTGCTTCCTCAGGATAACTAAAGATTAGCAACAAGTGGCAACTATAACATGAAAAGCATTGTTCTTTTATACTCACATTAACACGCACATCAGTAATGTAAATCTATTTGGATATGTGAGTCTGAGCCTCACCTAGCACTGCTTAGCGCTGCTGACGTAGGAGGATTCCATAATGAGGGAGGGGGTCGAAGAAGGGGAAACATACCTGGCCGAAAGGCTGGCGGGCACTGCGAAGGTGCGAGGTGATGCGCGTTTCTTGATGAAGAGAAGTCTTCAACGGCCCAGCAGGGTCATACCTGCGCCGCTCGCCTACCCTACCGCCGTCCAGTTCTGCCGTTTAGCAGAAAGAGCGTGGGTATTGGGGAGGGCAGCACCCGATGAGAGTCGCATCAATGCGGAAATCAGCGGTCAAAGACGGAGTCCCATCTCGGGACCTGCACCACCGACCACCTCCACCTTGATGTATGATGGGTTGGCTGCCTTTTCATCGTGAACTGCGTATTTGTTTGTTAAAATTGGAAAAAAAGTGCGCGAAGAATGTAAGCGGGGAAGAATTTCCTTTATGAAGAAAATTTTTTTTATGAGGTAAGCTGAGTTATGTAAAGAGGCACGGCGCTGCAAAGAAAGGAGAAATGCGATAGAGGACGTAGTACGCGATAAAGCGCAGATGCCATGTATGCTGCGTCTGGTAAAAATGGCAGCGGGGGGAGAGGGACTTTAGTCAAAAATGACCTCTTAATCACTACCTCGCACCTGCCACCTTATGCCTCCTAGCAATCGCCTGCGGGGTGACCTCACTTAATTGACTGTGCTGACTGCTGACCTCGCAGACATATTATGCTCAGAGACCGTAGACACCAAAATCGTTTTCTCACAAACCATGTAAGAGCTCACTTAGGTGGTTCACTCAATTTTGGTCATTTTTCTCGACTAAGAAATGTTTATTGTAGAGAGCTGATACAAGTTATTACCAAAGAATTTTCCACTATTTTCTTCAGCGCCTTTCCTATTTTTTCAACAAATTGGCGATTCCGCCCGATGGCACGATTTTAGTTTCGAAGTGTCAATTCACCGGTTCCTTATTGCACATATTCAACCTTCCAAAATCGTCTGTCAGCTATGAGAAGTTTTCCCATCCAAGCGGCAAAAGAGTTTCCTGAGGGTTTCGGCTTTGTTCCGACCAGCCCCTTTTCTTGAGAAAAATTATAGAAGATCAGTGTCCAGGGTGTTCTAGTGAGGTCCGCCACCAATGGGGGGGGGGGGAGGCGGAGCGTGTTCTTAGTGGGCGGCGTTTTTTGCACATCCTCACAAATTCCGCCTTAGGAATTCCCAGAAACCGGAGAGAGAGTGGATAGAAGTTCGCAAAGGAGGAAAGGTTAACTGTCATTGATGGGAGGGATGTGCATCCGAAGTGGGCGGGGCTTGCCAAAAAATTACTATTCGGTTCCCAGACTAAAGAAGCGGAGATCATGTGTTCGAGATGGATGTGGCGTGCACCGAAGTGAGCGGAGTTTCCCATAAACTTATGATTCGTTCTCGAAATAGCTCGATGACCGAGAGAAAAGGGATGAAGGCTAGAGAAGGAAGAGAAGTCAAATGCCAATAATGAGCGGTAAATGAAAGTTGACCAGTCTACAGTCACGATTTTCAGCTCCGCGACTGCCCCATAAAAAGAAAAAAGTGTCTTCGGAAAAGAGAACGTCTTTAGAAACATCGAGTTTTTGCCTTCCGTACAGCAGCTCCGCAGTAATTGAAAGAGTACTCCCCACTGACGCAGATGAGAAACTCATCAGTTTCTCATCTCCTACCATCCTAACGAGAATACCAAGAACAATAAGAAAAGCTGGAAAGTGCGAGTTCACGCTATTTTGCTTAGGAGGCGCAAACATTTTGCCACGCCACCGCGGCGATTCCATTTATGTTCAGCACCTTCTTACTAACCAGTGAGCACATCTGGTTGCCCCATTTGAATGATTCTAGAGTCCTGAGACCATGTAAGTGAGCATCGTATTCGCAAAGGTTCTTTTTGATTGGAGAGCTTATTTCCAAAAAGAAAGAAATGCAACAAATACTTCTGCGCATTGAAATCTTTCCGATTCAAATCTATCACTTTGAAGAACCTTGCAATTTCTGGAATGAAGTAAAGACCTAAAGACCTTTCACTGCTTCCGATCATGATTTCATAAAGCGGAGAATCCCATCGATTACGCGGATCCGGTTTCTCATATCGCATGAACAGTTCGGTGATGACAGATTCCTTATACCTGAAATGTCTAGATTTTCAGACAAGTAAACTGATGTAAAAGAAATATATATGGAATCTGCCTACCTTGCATTCTCGTTCTTTTGGCCATTCAACCACTTGCACGTAGACTCATCAGCATGGCAGTAAAGCACAGCAAACGTAGTTGTACAAAGCTTTCCAATGAGAAATAATTCATACCTATATCCTGAAGGGAAGAATATAAGAACTTAACCCTGCACTGAACGAGTACAGGCTGCCTGGATTCGGGTGATAAGAAGAAAAGCAAAACAAGTGAAAATAGGGTCGAGAAAACATTACCTTTTATGTAGTTCAACCCATCCAATATTACTACAGTATTTCGAGTTAAACTGTTGTGCACACATGATCGCAAGTATGATCGTTGGTCTTTCTCCTGAAACACCTCTCTGGACAACGAAGGAAACAAAGTCTCATTTAAAAGAGAAAATTAAGAATTGTTGGGGTGGTAATATCTTTCCCCTTTTATATGAGGGGATGAAGCAGCAGAATTTCCAAAATTCAAACAGATGCCAGATTGAAGTGCATACGACTCCCTAGGTGGTAAACCAGTTGGGGAGGGGGGGGGGGTGGAGGGGCAGTCGCTGTCGCAGTGCCGTCTTAGCTAGACAAAGTAAACTCGCATATTTCAACTGTCCACGCACATCAAGTGACTCGCTCCATCATCATCCTACTGAGCTGCCTACACTCCCCCAACCCATAGCTCACGGCTTCCTTCTACACTTAAAGGCAAAGTTCGGGCTCAGACCCACCTAAGAAGCCCTTACCATGGCTAGAAGTGCTAAGTGCAAAGGTAGCGCCACCTTTCTACATCGAAACGCGTCACTAGGACCCTAGGCGCCATGGACTTCTAACAGACTCCACCAAACCTAACATGGTCCGCCCACCGTTCGATATCTTGATCTGCTAAGGTCTCTCTCTTCTTCTTGACTGACTCTGACTTCTTTACCACTCTCCGCGCTCACATAATCTCTCAACTTCCTGCTTGCAATTCTCGCATTTCTGTGTAATTCACAACTTGCTTTCCTTTTTACTTCATATAGTCCACCAGCATCCCTACTTCCATATTTGAGGGGAATTACCATATCAGTTTAGCCCAAACTGTTCCCTTTAAGGGCGCGGACATGCCGCTCGCCACGGCAGCAACTAGCATTTCCTTCTTCATGGAGGGGAAGGGACACTCATGCTCTCGATTGGTCCAGCGTAAACCATGACGTGCAATACAATCAATATACATTTCCAATCTCTAACAGCTCATTCATACCTCTCATGGAAACCAATTTACCTAAACCTCCTCATTACCTACTTCAACTCAATTCGTTCGAAACTCCCTTGACGTAGAAAATCAAAAGCAATGTACACCACCACCACCAGTAGATCAAGCTAAAATTCAAGCAAATTCACCATACTATCCATCCATTTTTGACCTCCTAATCTACTACCAACAATCTTACTATCCTAACCTCGTACTCCCAGCGATTCCAGTCGATACGTAATCCCTATTTCGGTAAGACGAGAAGAGCGTTGAGTGCAGACCATACAGCACAAACGACGACGGTCAAGAGAATTAAGCCACTTTATCTCGGCCGTCGTCACTTGTGCTGTATGGTCTGCACTCGACGCTCCTCTCGTCTTCCGGAAACAGAGGTTATGTAATTTTCACTATCGCACAGTCTAATCTCCTGGGTCCCTCACCTATGAACGCACCCATATTCTTATACAGTTCCTCAATCACAAATTTGACATTCGCTTTAGCGCTAACTTTCTTTTCGGTCTCCGGACTCAGTGAGTTCCTGTTGATCTGATTTACGGAAATAAAGAATACCCAGTCATACAGCGCTGGAAAGTGACCTGGGAGTGAAATCTAATTGAAAAACTTAAAATGGCACAGTACCTGCGGAATCACCCGTAATCGTCTCTGCTGAAGTTTGGACAGTCATCATCTCGAACGACCTTCGTTGGTTTGCCTTGGCCTATGAAGTACTCCTGTATCCTCTCCACAATTGTAGACTTACCACAAGCTGGGGGGCCAGTAACCAATAGAAAAGGCATTTATCTACAAAATGATGATTCACGTTAGCAACAGATGGCGCTCAATAAGGCAACAAATTTCAGCATTAAACTCAAAGAAAAATTTACTATGCACAAAGATACAGGTACCATCAGGCGAATTCTAGCGGCCTCAGGTATAATAAATCATGCAATCAAATCCATTTTCATATTCTAAGACATGAAAGCTCTACAGCAATTTTACTGTTTAAAACCGAACCTACTACGCAATTCCATCAATATTATACTAAACCTGTGGAATACTGGTGTTTCCCCTTGCTCAGTGTTCTTGACAACTTTAAGGCAATTCTCATACAGCCAATTTTCTGTATCTTTGAATGAAATTTCTTGAAAAGCCCCACCACACATTACTCCCCATCTGCAAGAAAAAACTCCCCACATGAGCTATACACTTGACATAAGAATGCCTGGAGGTTACTGTCGACTTTGCAAAAAAACAAACAAGCAAAAATGGTCAACATAGGCCCAAGACAAAGCTCACTCTTCTCCTATAATTTCAAGAGTAGGACACTGAAAGGTAAATCACAGACTGTTACCTCGCAACAGCTCTTTAGAATTTCAGTATAATAATAAGTATATGATTTTATACGTCCTGCAAAAGCACAGAGGATGTAAGCACAACGTGCATTATCGCCATAGTCGTAACAATAATGCCGGTTGCAGACTTTGCGAATCCAGCGATTGCGCTACGACAACGCTGGATACGAAGCAGTTAGTTTGTTAGTCTTGTACCCGTGATTAGAACGACACCAACTCGACATTGTTTGAAATTGGCGAGATCCCTTTGAAACGCTGGCTCTCGCCACCTTTCCGGGCACACGAGGGCATGAGGGTCCGGGAAAGTGGCGAGTGTCAACGTACAAAAGTGTCAACGTACAAACGAGAGGGTCCCGCCACATCCAAACAGCGGCGAGTTGCTGGTACGTCGTTCGATCCGCTGGTACACAGCTTGATTCGCTGGTGCAACGCCCTATCCCGCCTAAAGGATTCAAGGAAACAGCGTGTCCACCCGAATGGCATTGCCCATTTTATTTCATATGTTATCGTTACAATAATATGAACTTGTACTGCGCAGGCGGCCCGGTATGAGACACTCGGAGAAGAAAATCACCCAACTCGTCCGGAATACGGTGGGGGAGGGGGGGGGGACGACTACTTGAACTCGGTCCTTTAAGCCGCCTCAACTCGATGCTCTCGTCTGCGCTCTCTCACCTTATCAGCGGCTCATGACCACTGTGATCTCACACATTCAAACTTTGCCACACTGTAGTTGGCTCACCCACCTCGGAAGTCCTCTCCCTTACAAGGCTTAGTCCTATCCTTGGGATTTGGAGCCGAGCCAGGCGCCATTCTCTAATCGTCTGTGCTCTCCGCCATTCGTGGCAGGACCATAGAAGAAAGTTCAAGTAATCCAAAACCGTCGCTAACACACTCGCCCTGCATTCTTCGGGTGTGGGTCACTACGACAAGAAGCTACTTCTTCACTTTTTGCAGCGCGAAACTTTTTCGCTGCAGTTCCCAAGTCCACTGCTAATCATGAGAGAACCTGGGATTCCTGCAGCGCAACCAAAAAAGAAAACGTTGCTTTCTGCCCTAGGGTGTAAGATTAGGTGACAGTGCTGAAAAACAATGCCGTCACCCTTGACCTCCCACGCCCATTTTTCCTCGTCTATTTTTATCTTATTCCAAGTCCACTATTAACAGTGGGGAAAAAATATAGAAAAGTGTTTCGACAATAGGACAAAAACCAAAAGAGAATTATTACTCATAAGTGTCTTTGAAAGGCGCGCAAATGTGTGGATTGGAGCGCGACATTGCTAACCTTAACTTGATTCATTCACATTGACGTTTCTTGACCTATTGGTGTCAGGGAGCTTTTCCAATGGCGGAGCCCGTGTCGTTGAAGGACGCCTTGGGTAATGTCGAGGTGAGTTTCTTGATCTGATTCTCTTTTTTGCTTAAGTAAGCTTTTTGTTCAGTTACTGGAGGACCTCATTCTACCTGACGATCAACCTGCTATCGAAGCGCGTCCACTTCCACTACTGTGCAGGTTCTTGATTTTGCTTTACAATTTCCCTTTGTGATGCTCATTTTACCATTAATTATTGTGTACGTAACCATGTGTACACAACATATGTGTATTGATATTATTTATTGTTTCACGCACAGGGGAAATGTAAGAAACTTCATATGATATGCAGAGAAATGTACTGAGGGATCCCTTGAAAAGCAAGAGGGGAGTAATAGTGTCATTAATATTGTTCCGTTTTAGTCATGAGTTGCACCATCACTGCGGACCGTCGATTGCTCGCATAAATATAATAAGTGAACTAAAGAACTGTAGTGGTAAAGGTTCTTCTCACGATTCCGCCTGCTTTGTAGTATTTTTGTAGTCTATCTGAGAAGTTCAAATTTGTACGATTGAAAATAGGCAGTAAAAGGATAAAAAGGATAAAGCATTTGCCGTTGATCAATCCTTTTTTTTCTACTTCCATTTGTACATTCGTAGTGGCGTTTGAATGCGATGTGGCCTATACAATGACTTGCGGGGGCCAGCCGATGTTCAAGTCAGTGTTTTTATCCTCCCAGACAAGTCTGGTACCAATTAACCGACCCCGGAGGGATGGAAGGCTTGGTTGGCCCGGGCGACTCACGACCCAGGATTTGATCCCGGACCGCTCGCGTGGTAAGCGCGCCACTTGTCACTACACCACTTCCGCCCTTAAATAGGCAGTTATTAAAAATAAAGAGCTTCTTAGTTTCGACATTGAAAATGATTGCATGTTTTTTTTATCCGCTCGATGACACATTTTTCATTAGGTGTATAAACAAAAAAATGAATCTTGCTGTGAGCACTAGAGCACAAACTAGCAAACATAGGTGGTCTCTCCAAGAGAAGTTCGGTGCTGTTTTAAGTCGTACTAGTTTGTTGTGAAAAACAACTCAATATTACAAATCCCCAGTGATTGTCATGAGGGTCGGGGATGGACCCATTTTTCAGTCCCATCATAATATATTCCAAGCTGATAACCTTTTTCAGTAGTTGAACCTTTGGCAACGACGTCGATTATTCTATGGTGCTTTACTTCTTCCATGTTTTCTTTAATTCAGCTGCTTTTGTAATTGAAAGTATATCTATGTGGGGGAAATAATTATTTCAGGACCCGACCCTCTTCAAAAGCCGAACTATGAAAAAGTTGTTTAATTCTCCCCCAAAACTGCTCATAAAAAAGCCCTGCTACCCCACCCCCCAAAAAAATTCGTTTAAGAAGTACAAAAGTGAAAAAGTCAAAGAATGATCATTATTGATGAGTCCTACCAAACGAGCAAACGAGAAACGGAGCAAAAAAACAAACTAGTCACTAAAAATGGCATACTATGACAACATCTCTTCTTATTTATTTCCTCCAAAACGCTTACTAATTTTATGAGTACCTACTAGATTATGATTCTCAATTTACACGTCCCCCTTTCGCTCGAAGGAAGCCTTGTAAAAGCCTTCGCCAGCTGTGTGTTGACTGGACTTTGGCGTTGACCGTGGAGCAGCTTATTTACTATTGAAATTTGAACAAATATTCAAATGATTATACTTTGTAACGGAATATTCAATCGAAGCAGATTGGAGTTTGCAAAGAGCCTTCCAATGTGGTGATAAGTTCAAAATTATGAGAATTAACCAATTTAGTTATAATTACGTATCCGTTGTCCTCTGGGAAAATTCATGATGGAGCCCGAAATTTCACACTCCAAGCCATAACTTGCTTCATTTTTGCCAAGATCTGAAAAGTTAACAAAGGCCACCAAAGCTAGATTTTCTCTTTGACGCTAAAGCAGCTTTATACGTCCAGTATTCAAAAAATAAATGGCCACGTTGAGGATTTTTGCAAAATTAACGAGGAAAATTCGTGATGAGTGCGAGTTTTTACGCTTTCCAAAGCCATAACTCCGTTCAAACTCATGCAATCTGGAAAGTTAATACGTCATCATAAACTAGAAGATTTGCTCTATCAAAGGTACTAAAACTGCTAAATACGTCCACTATTCAAAAAATGGTCACGTTGAGGATTTTTGCTCGAGTAGCGTCGAAATTTTGTAGTCACCATCTCCACATGCCTTAGCGCTTGTTTTGCCTGCTCAACTGTCTGTATGAGAGTTGGGTCGAAAGACGGATCCTGATATTCTTGACCGTCGACCGTTGCCAAATTGTATTTCATTGCTCTGAAGAAAATCGACAGGTCGAATGGGAATGTCCTCAACGTTTGATGAGTCTAGCGCTGTGAGAGGTCTTGTGTTCAAGATGTCTTCAATTTGAGCTACGACAGTGTACAACTCGGCCTGCGACAGTTTTCTCCTTCCGACGGATTTGGTAAATTCACGTTTGACCCAAACCTACGAGTCGCTC